TCGCCCTTGCTGGTCGTTGCCATCGTTCATCGTCGTTGACCTTACCTTCCCTCTTTCTTTTTCTCACTCCTGCCTGTTACCTGTCTGGATGCTCATCATCGGCCTTCCCCTCTTCCTCCTCTCCCTCATTTTTCCCTCGTTCTTGTGCACGTCCACCCTCCATCATCCCGTCTTCCTCCCTCTGCGATCCTACATTTTGTCTTATCGATCCTCTGCTATCTCTTCTTCCGGGTATTGCTTGACAGTGTCCTCGCCATTACTTCGCCCCTCGTCGGCGCGGTTCTCTCCGTCCTCCTACTTTCTGCTCTGGCGCCATCCTCATTTCGTTCGTCGTTTTTAAATTCGTAGCGTTTAGCGATCACTCTGCGGCCGCCAGCTCCATCCCCGCTGGTCGTCGGCCCAGCTCCGGCCCAACATGTCTCAGGTGAGGCTTACCTTTCCCACCTTGTTGTGGCTGTTAGCTGCTCCCTACCAGAGAACTAGGCGGTTCCCTTTTCCCTCGTTCATGCGGCTGTTAGCTGCACCCTACCAGTGTGCCAGCATGTCTCAGTCGATGTTTCCCCCATCCCACCGCGGCTGTCTGCTGCACTCCTGCCGGGCTGCAGCTTGTCTTTGGTGTTACCTCTCCTATTCTTCTGCGGCTGTCAGCTGCACCCCAGCCTGGCATCGGCGTGTCTCAGGCGAAGCGCACCGCCGCGGAAGGACTCCTCCGGGTCTTGCACGGGTTAGCCGCCCCCCCAACCGACCCGGCAGGTGCGGCCGTACCCCCCAGTCCGCCCCTGCTACTCATGCCCTTGCTGGGCGTCCAGGTGGAGCTTCTTCCCACTTCCCGAGGCTGTCAGCCGCACCCCGCCCAGTGAGCTGCAGGTCTCAGGCGATGCCATCCCCTATCGCCCTGAGGCTGGTAGCCTAGCGGGCCCGGGCTGATCCTCGACGGCACTGGCGTGTGCACCCGCCTTCGACTTCAACTGCTTCCTCTCGGAGTCTGTCGAGTCTTGGCAACTGTCTGATGCCTGTCTTGGTCGGGCCCCCTCTATTTTGTTCCCCCCGGGGCTCGAAGAATGTGAGGATCTCTGCACTTCGACAGCGCTGGCCCTGGAGGCGGCCTGATGGATTGCCGGCTGCAAGGGCCCTACGCTACCGTTCGCTCCTGCTGCCAGAGTTCCACTCCGTTGTCTCCTCGCCTCTCGCGACACCGCGTCCGAGTGGATTGGTTCGGGTATGTTGAGAGTTACGACAAGTACAGGCTGTTCGGCAAGGTGCGGTCGTGTACTATTTGGTCTGAGCCTGAGCTGCGGCTTAGCCCTCTGGTCTACGGTCTTGTCTTCCTTTCTCTCTATTCGCCTCGCTCCTCTCTTGTGTCGCTCGTTCGTTCTCCCCCCCCCGTTGCGTTTCTCTCGCCACCGTTGTGGCCCCTTTTCTTGCATGCCGCCTGTGACCGACTGGCCTGCGCTTCTCGCGCGACTTTCCTGACGGCGCGCGGTTGGTTCCGCGACGCTCGCGATCAAAAAAGTATCCCCACCAGTCCCTCCAGGAACGGTGCTCAGGGGAGCTGGTCTCATCAGGGGAGCGCGACATCATTTGGATAGCTCGGGAAGCCTCCGTGGGCCAGAGGCTTCTTTGATGCCTTTTCGGGGCCCCTTGGGATGTCTCTCGGGGTCTTTTGGAGGCTTCTTGAAGCCTCCTGGCGGCCTCCTCGCGGCTCTGCGGGGCCTCGTCGGGTCTCTTGGAGGTTTCTTGGAGGTCTCTGAGGACGTATTAAGGGGGCCCTTTGGCTGTTTCAAGTGCCTCTAGGGACGTATGAGGGGGCCTTTGGGGGGCCGTTTGGGGGTCGCTTGGGGGCCTCCAGTGGGCCTCGTGGGGTTTTTGGGGCGCCGCTTGGGGCACCTTACAGGCTTCCTTGGGAGCGCGTCGGACCGTCTTGGGGCCATCTTGAAGACGATCGATCAACTAAGGGGGGTCCTCAATTAGCGTTCCCCCCCGGGGGACCAACGCAGAACATTGTTTGTTGTTTTCTTGCCGATGCTTCCTTGGGCGCTCTGACTGGCCCCCGCCCCCCCGTCCAGACCCAATGGGAGGGGTAGAGAGACTGGGCAAGTTCCCAGCGCGACCGCCGCAAGCTGTCTTTCTCACTCCCACCCACCCTCCCACTACATAAGTAGCACCGAGTATCAGCATAGGCAGGGGCCGCCGTCGACGACCATCGGAAACCAAAGCTGACGCCAACCAGGTGCGCGAAACACGCGAGGGGCGCCGCACATGCCAGGTGCGCCACGGGCACCAGGTGCGCTGCATTGGGCAACCTGTTGACCCCCACCATCTTGCCAAAAAACAATGCAAAGTAACGGCGGGTTTGCAAGCACTGTGTAGAGAGTGTGTGTTTGTGTGTGTTTGTGTTTGTGTGTGCGGGTACTGTTCTGACAGGAGTGGTGAGCTTGCACGCAGCAGGCAGCGCGTTGCCACTCCCGCGCCGTCCCTGGCAAAGTGAGCTAGCTGTCTC